CACGAATGCTTGATTTACACACCTTCCGGTTCTGCAGGCATTCCAGGCAGCACGCCACGAGGATTTCCCCGTCCGACTGCACTGGTGCAAATCCCAGGTCATGCAAAATCAACTGGAGCGCGGTTGGCGCCCCTAGGAGAAGGGAGGCGGGGCCTCCACGTCATCATGATCCACTCGAGCCGGGGGCTTAGTCCCTAGGTGCCAACCCCAACCAAACAACAGGGGGGCCCCCCAAAACCCCGGAAAGTCAACCCCGAAACGGAGGGAACGGGGGAAAAAGGGGGACCCAGGGAGCCACCCCGAAAAGGGAAAACCAAACAAGAGAGGGGAACCAAGGCGCACCCCGGATCAGCCCAAGCCGCGCCAATTTTCCTCGCCTGGTGCAAGTCTGGGCCTGCGCTGTTCCCTGGGGGGGATATCAGCGCCTTCGGCAGCTGTCCCACCCCCGGGGTGCGCTGCGCATCCGTTCCGGATGGCCGCGGTCCTGGATGGTGTGCCGGAAGATGGCGTTGTCCCGCATCATCACGCGGCCCCCTTCGCGATGTCATCGATGCGCTTCAGCGCAGCAGCCTCCGGATTCCGCAGAATCAGCTCCCAGATGGCATTGGAGACGTGGCCTGTCTGGGTGGTCTGGCTGAATCTGAACCTGGGCACCTTCTGGTCCACGATGGAGACGTCCCGCAACGGGGCCGAGGGCTCCACCCGGCGGTAGTACTCCAGCCGCTCCTTCACCCAGCGGTTGTAGAGGCCCTCCGGCGGCTCGTCCAACACCAGCTGCAAGATGGCCTTGCCGGCCCGGATCTGGAGGAGGCGGGTGCCCCCTCCCCCGGCACGCCAGTACCCCTTACAATACTTGCACATGTAGCCCCCCCGGGTCTCCCCTTTTGTCTTCGGGATGAGTTCCCACGGGGTGACGGAGCTCAGGACCAGGCCACACTCCATGTGCGCCCAGAAGACATGCTTCATCTCCACCGGATAGTTCTTCTTCCGGTAGTCCTTACCCACCACGCCGTGGACGTTGTCCGCCGTGATGGGGGGGTAAACGATCCCCTCATCGCCCTCGCCTCCCCTGGGGCGGATGTCAGGGCCATCGGCACCTGTCCGGCACCCAGGGGCGGAGGGGTCCAGGCCCATCAGCTTGATCATGTCGTTGGTGTAGCCGAGCTTGCGGTAGATGGAGGGGGCCACTGAGTCGGGGACTGCGCCGACCCACCACTGCTTCGTGTTGCAGCGCCAGTTGACCTTCACCTCCGCCAGGGCCCCCGGGCCTCCAATGCGGTCCATGAGGGCCTTGTACACCTCTGGGAACTGCTGGAGGCTCTCCACCGGGACCGAGATGCGCTCGTCGCATACCGCCCGCAGGATCATCTGCTCCTTGGAGTCCGCCACGTCCTGGACCGGGAGCTGCATCACCTCCGCCGGGGTGTCCGTGAGGAAGGCCCGGGCCGCGAGGACCTTGCCCATGGCCCGGTAGACCAATCGCCACTCCGGTCCTGTCTGCGGAAACGGAAGGCCCTCCTCCTTCAGGAAGCACCGCGCGTCCTCCTTCAGGGTCTCCCAGCCCTCCAGGCGGGTCTGATTCTGGGCCTTGTTTTTCGGGCCCCGCTGCCTAGGGCCCTGCAGCAGTGGCAGAGACTCCCAGACTCCCCAGAGCTGGCGCAGGGTGTAACTGTGCCCGAACATCCCCAGTAGGCCTGGGAGTGTCCAGGACGAGATCTGGCGAATCCAGTGGAAGTCCTCATCCGGATCGTGGGGGGCAGCCCAAAAGATGGATCGCAGGTCCCCAGGGTAGGGTCGGTCCCCCGCCTTCGCCTGCTGGTTCAACTCATCAACGGAGTACCTGGCCCAGGGGAGTCCACCCACCTGGTGGTTCCTGGGATGCGTACCCTTCTCCAACGCCTCCGGATTCACCTTGGTGAGGTTTTTCGCCCAATCCGGGACGTGTACCGGGCCCGGTCGTCGGACCCAGCGGCCCGCAAAGATACGGACCTCTCCGACCCGTTTGCTCATCATCCAGCGCAGGACCGAGAGCTGCACCTCCGGGTCCTTGGTGTCCAGGCCCACCGGGGTGGCGGACGGCTTGTCAGGGCCCTCGGCACCTGAGCTCGTCACGCCAGAGCCCGAGGCTGGGGATGGTGGGCGGCCTGTCAGGGCCCTCGGCACCTGGGCGCGCCGCACCAGAGCCCCCCGCCTTTGGCATGGGGATCCCTGTCAGGTCCGGCAGATCTGACAGGAGGGCCGCCGGGAAGGGATTCCTACCCAGCGAGATGACCGCCTTGGCCTCAAGGTAGGAGTCCGTGAGGGATGTGAGGTCGTCCATACTGAAGTCCCTCCATGCCGTTGTCGGCTCGAAGACCCCAGTCTCAATGGCGACCCGGACCTCACTAGGCCACGCACTGAAGGGAGGCGCGATGGGCGCGAGCATCCTGGTTTCGAGGGAGCCCTTCGCCTGTCTGGCTTGGTGTTTCGCTTTCGCCTCCTCCGCAGTGGTCTGGGCCTGGAGGAGCTCCGGTGTGGGTCTCCCCCAGTCCGCACCCAGCTTGTCCAGCAGCTTCTCACGGAAGAGGTCCAAGTCCAGGTTCTTCAGGAGCAGACCTCCATCACCTCCTCCGTCAATGGCCCCCCCTTGAAGTTCGTGGAGGACCGCCGCGGAGCGGTCCACCGCTTCCACCTGGTCGCCTTCTTGGCCTCCTCCTGGGCGATGGTGGTGGCGTTGAGAGGGGTCTGAATCTTGAAGGCCTTCACCGCAGACGGGTGGAAGGCTCTGCATTCCTGGCCCTCTTCCTTGTCGCCTGGCAATGGGGGCCTCTCCCCCGGTGGGGCCGTCAGAAACTCCTCGTCCAGCTCCATGGGGCAGTTCCTGATCACCGCCCGGACCGAGGAGGGGACGAAGTCCGAGAAGCTGGCCTGGTCCGGGTTCTCGCAGGCCATCGGGTCGGTGGCCAGCTCGCTGACGTCCACCGAGGCACTGAGCTTGAGGTCGCGGGCCCGGTCCGTGTCAGGGCCTTCGGCACCCGCGGACCGGGCCGCCGTCCAGACCGCATTGCCCTGGTCATCCACCGTCAACTGCCAATGCGTGCCCGCCATCTCCAGGGTGGCCGAGTTGGTCGCCGTGTCAATGGGCTCCGTCTTCTTGCCGCACCCCATGCACTTCGTGGCGCCCTTCTTCACCCAGGGCATGGTGCAGCAGGGGCAGATCCAGGATGTGGGCACCTTGCCCAGGGGGCGGTTCTCCAGGCCCCCGTACCCCAAGCCAGCGCGTTTGCCAACCTGCTGTCCCGGGGTGCTGAGCCGGGCCTCATGCTCGTACTTCATCTTGGCGATGTAGAAGGCCTCCACAACGCGCTCCAGGCCCCCCTGCTTGAGTTGGGGGCCCTCAAAGCCTCGCAGGAGCCGCTGGACGTCCTTGGCCTGCAGTCGGCGGAGCCTAGTGGCCGTGGTCGCATCGAAGCAAGGGAAGTCGCCCGCCATCTGGTCGTCGCTGAACTGGTAGAGGCCCTCCGAGACCTTGAGGGCCTTGGTGAACACGCTCCCCCCCGGCGGGGGGGCTGCGGGGTTCTCATCCTCCTCCGAGGACGCCTGCTCCTTGACCTTCGCCATCAGCTCCCGGCGCCTCTGCCACTTGGCGTCTGCCCGGGCATCCAGGCGGGTCTCCTCCAAGCGGGCTGCAGCCGAGGGGGACCTGGGCATCGGCAGCTCCTTCTCGTCCTGCGCCCGGAGCTCCTCCATGGGCACGTCCTCCTCCGGCGGGTTCAGGAGCTCCAGGAACGCCCCTGGCAGGCGTGTCAGGGCCTTCGGCACCTGCGCCACCCCAGGGGCTGCATCTTCCATCGGCTCATCCTCTGCCTTGCGCTTGGCCGGGATAAGGGGGGTCTGCTCCAACTCATCTGCGCTGGAGAAGAAACGCTCGTCAGGTGCCTGAGGGACCTCGGCAGCCAAAACGGTCCATCCTTCTTCCTCCCTCTTCACGAGGCTCGCCAGGTACTTTGCCATGGAGGCCTTTGCCTTAGCCTTAGCCTCTGCTACCGCGGCACCAGCGTAGGCGGGGGCGTACATGGCTTTGAGAGAGGGGAAAGAAAGATTTCAAATCACACGACCAAAGATCAAAAGGTCCACTTGAGCCAAAATGGTGGCCCAAGTGGATACTTATTAAGAGTCAAGACAAGCGACCACCTACGGTTAACGCTTTAGCCCAATCTCCCCCCTTTTGTCCACCCACCTCACCAGGGAATAAAAAACACGGAACACACGCACACACGCACAAACACTCGGCGCGACAAGGAAGACGTGCGGAAGAAAACAATGGAAAACACTGGAAGACGACATCACTTCGGAACTTGAGGGGGCAACCAAATGTGGCTTGGCATCTGATGGTTGTCCTGTTGGCTGCCCTTCAAACCAACCTGAAAGGCACCCCGAAAAACTTAAACATCGCCACATGACTATGCAATGGCACATGTCGAACACGAACACATACAGCACCATCTACCTGCCGTACAAAGTATGGCCTGAGTGCTGCCTATCTGAGGCTGAAGTTGGTGAGTCCTCTCGTCTGTTGTAGGATTTAGAGAGTCCCCCATGCCCCTCCCAAATGGGTATGGCTCAAAATTAAACCACCAGGGGACCGCAGGTTTTAGTCTTTGTTGTAATTTACCAGGGTTCCATTCTGGGTACGTATTTTTGACCCACAGCCATTTGGGGAGTCCCCCATGCCCCTCCCAAATGAACCGTATTGGACATCTTGACCACACCTCATCTCACCGCGCAAGCTCTCTGCATCAGCCCCTCGTTTGGGTCCACAGAAATTGCCGAAACGAGTCGCGGCTCTGAAGACCCAAAAACAAACGCACTTTCCAGTACTACAACACGTGTCAAGCGACCTGAGCCAAGCATGCTCTACGATCTCTTCCGACAGGGCAATCTTCCGACGCACCGCAGGCGGCAATCACTTTGCACTCCAACGTGCCACTTCGTTTTTTGCAAAAACCTGGCAAAGCTGCGAGAGAATCACGTGGGTCGCAGAGATGTCAACATTGTACATGGTCTGCGAAATCTTGCCCCCCTTGGAGAGGGTGCACACCTGCGACCTGGGCGAGTAGGCGAGTGTCATTGGAGTGCCCTCAAGTATGGATTGAGTCTCTTCGAGCATTCGATCCTTTGTCGGATGATCAAGGGTGGGGCCATGAATTATAAACCCTTTGGTGGACGTCATGACATGAGAATGTATGTTTGCCAGCCAATTTTGAGAGGGACTCGGCGTGAATTTCATAGGGCGAGGAAAATCAAGGTAGCAAGTTGACTCAAAGAGGGGCGGGGGATGTTGGGAAAACTGGATGGGCTTTCTGGCTCGGAGGCCTCGCATTCCCACGCCGGACTCCTAGGTTCGGTGAGATTGGGAAGGCAAGTGCTAGGAGAGACCCCCTGCAACGCAAGCAACACCTCCGCGCGCAAAACCGTGGCAAGTTTTGTGACGTTTGGTCACAACTAGTCAGCAAACACCTCACTCCCCCTTCCCCACCCCCGCATAAATGGCAGCTGGAGAAACGAGATGCTGCGGGGAACTCGCTGTCAGCAGACAAACCGAACTTCAACGAGCGGCAGCTTGGACTGCTATCCATCAGATGCCGAGACCCCAAGGCGCTCACATCTCTGTTTGCCGTCTTTATGTTTTCATGAACGCGCTTTTGCTGCCAAAATATCCACGTTAGATTCTGACTCATAGGGAATCTACGTTAGATTCTGACTCATAGGGAACCTAGCAATATCTGAAAAAGTCTGGACTCTGGGGAGGGGGGTTGAGGGCGAATCATGTGGTGCAGTGCCGCGGCTTCAAGACAGGACGCGCGCTTCTGCGATTGCCCCTGGCTGTCCTGGGACCCTCAATGACCCAAATTTGTGCTCCCCCAAATGGCTGGCTTTCGTTTGGTTTCCGTTTGTCTGTCAAAAGGGCTTCACTTTTAACCCACCAAAGCCATGAAATGATGGTTTGCATATCACCCCTTCTTGAAAAGCCCCCATTACGCCTTCTTAGGCCTTCTTAGGCCTTCTTAGGCCTGAAGTTGGGATTGGGGACCCTTGCTGGGCCCGGGGCGCTCGCAGGGAGCTCTGTTCAGCCACCGGAGCCCTCTCTTTGCTTCCAGCCGCGGGGGGGATCCCTAGGTCCTCCGGTCGAGAGGTTAGAATAAGGCTACCATGTTTTTTTGGTTTTGTCTATTTTAGTAGGGGAATCCTCCCCAGAAAAAGGATGAAAGGGCACTACTGGGGGACCTAGTTGAGCAACCTAGAACCAGATTGCCTGAGGCCAAGGTGCTTCTTCGAGAGGTCGAAGATCTCGCCGATGCCGTTCTTCTCCGCGGTGGCTAAGAACTTATCCTCGGCAAAGTCGCAAATGCTGTGGATGGACGACATCTGCTTCGCACTACTTGGAAACCGGGGAAAACCATAACGTTTGTTGTTTACAGGGAAATCATCAGCCACCAGGGTTTCTTAGGTGGTGCAAGATTTCGTCCGTCCACAGTAGTCTGACGCATGGGATGTCTCAACAACCGAATGTAGCAAACTTATAGATCTCCAGCAAACTTGTAGAGAACTCCAGCTAACTTATAAAACTCCAGCAAACTTATTGAGAACTCCAGCAAACTTGTACTCCAGCAAACTTGTAGATATTTCCAGCAAACTTGCAGAGAACTCCAGCAAACTTGTAGAGAACTCCAGCAAACTTATTGAGAACTCCAGCAAACTTATAGAGAACTTCCTCCACTTGTGGCTTTCCTTTCGGTTTCCGTACCAACCCAACAGAAAGGAAAAAAACAGAAAACACACACGGTCTTTTGAGGGTAGCTCCTAGGACCCTCTCGCAGGTGCATGAGAAAAAAACACAAAACAGTTGAACCGATGCGATGGTTTGACAAGGAACCCCACCCCAGTATAGTAGGCAACCTTTTTTAACCTTTCAGGATTCTCCTTGGCTTTTAAGGGTTCCCTCGGTTGCCTGCTGTACAGGGAGATGGACTCACTGGGCAACGCAACAGTTACCGTTGAGATCTCTCCGGAATCGGGCACAATGGCACAATGCCCATCAGGACCCGATTGGTTTTGATAGATGCCATGGTCAACATTCATGGCTTGCGACATGCACAACTCCTGGGCCCAAACGAGGAAAGCAGCGGCCATATGGTGGATGGACAAAATCCTGCACAGGTTGGGATGAATGAGACCCTACGAACTCTATGCTCACCCACGACCAAGTGGTCCTTGATTCCGAAATGCAACGGGTTCCCAGTGACAACTAACTTTACGCTTGGGGTACCCTCAAAATGCAAGGTGGACGTCAAGTTTCCTATGAAAGAGTCTCATGCCAGGTATCGTCCAGTTTGTAGTTTAGTTCAAAGGGAACCGTGTTCTGTTGGGATCCCTCAAAAACCAACTATGGGGGTTCTCTAACAAAGAGACGTTTCGGTGTGTTCCCTGAGCAAAGAGTGGCCGCGGTTCCCTCACAACAAAACAAAGAAACAAACAAAGAAACAAGACAACGAACACACTAAGCCGGAACTGAACCAGAAAGAAAGAAAGAAAGAAAGAAAGAAAGAAAGAAAGAAAGAGAGACTTCAAAGAAAGAAAATCAGAAAGACATACAGAAAAAGAAAGAACAAAAGAACGAAATAAAGAAAGAAGTAAAGAAAGAAATACAGAAAGACTGAAATAAGAGAAACTTCAAATAAAGAAAGACAGAAAGACGTACAAAACAAGACAGACAGACAGACAGACAGACAGACAGACAGACAGAAGGAAAGAAGGAAAGAAAGAAAGAAAGAAAGAAAGAAAGAAAGACATAAATATATAAGTTTAAACAAAAAAGAAAGAAATAAAGACATAAAGAAAGAAAGAGAGACTTCAACGAAATAAAGACAGAAAGACATACAAAACAAGAAATAACAACAGAAATAAAGAAAGAAAGAAAGAAATAAATAAAGAAAAAAGAAATAAAGAAAGAACAACAGAAATAAATAAAGAAAGACATAACAAAATAAATAAAGATGAAAGAAATAAAGATAGACTTCAAATAAAGAAATACAGAAAGACAGAAATACAGACAGAGAGACTTCAAATAAAGAAAGACAGAAAGACGTACAAAACAAGAAAGACAGACAGACAGAAAGACAGACAGACAGAAAGAAAGAAAGACAGAAATAAATACATAAATAAAGAAAGAAAGAAAGAAATAAAGAAAGAAATAAAGAGAGACTTCAAAGACAGAAAGACAGAAAGACATACAAAAAAAGAAAGAACAAAATCAAGAAATAAACAAATAAAGAACGAACGAACGAACAAAAGAAAGAAAAAAAGAAATAAATAAAGAAAGAACGAAATACGGAAAGAATAAAGACATAACGACACACATAACAAGAGACTTTAAAGAAAGAAAGACAGAAAGCCATGGCAAAAAATAAAGAACAAAAGAAAGAAAGACACACAGAAAAAAGAAAGAAAGAAAGAGCGACTTCAAAGAAAGACAGAACGACATACGTATAAAAAAGAAAGAACAAAAGAAAGAAAGAAAGAACGAACAAAAGAAAGAAGGAAATACAGAGGGACTTCAAAGAAGGAAAGACAGAAAGACATACAAAAATAGAAAGAACAAAAGAAAGAAATAAACAAAGAAAGAAATAAAGAAAGACAGAAAGAAAGAATGAAAGAAGGAAAGAAAGATAGAAATAAAGAAAGAAATAAAGAAATAAAGAAAGAAAGAAATAAATAAATAAAGAAAGAACCAATCAACTTTTGGGGGTTCCCTCACAACAACGACAAGCCCGGCCAAATTCACCGGGCCAGGGCACGTGGATCGCGACGTTCCTAGTCTTCTGCGCGGTCTGCAGCGTGTGTAGATAGGTGCCCTTCCTAGGAACCGCAGCCTATGGCCATGTGTCAAAAGCCAAATTGGTTAACCCCCAGTGAACATCCCAATCCAACCGCTAAAATACGTCCTAAAATGGGTGGTGAATTCACCTACCAACCAAAATGGGATCTTATTGGTTTTGACCCGCATGATTTGGACTCTTGGAATGACCCCGAGATAAATTCCAAGCCCTATGGTTTCCCAAGCAGCATTTTTCAAAATGAAGCAACGGACCCAAAAAAAACGCACACTGAGTGTTGCAAGGAGAAATCCAAAGTGAAACCAACATTCTAGGGGTTCCGACTTGCACGTATCCATATTTGACAGCTCATGGTGTTTGGCATGCCAGACTAGGCAGTGACGTCAACAAGACATCTTGGGCTGGTGTCTGTGACAGCACTCTGATCTGGAGTGGAATGTCGCTTCTGTTGGTTAAATCATGGAAGTAAAGAGGTTGAAGATCTAATACGCTGACAACAAACATAAGCATTATGGCAATGCTATTGCATGCACCAAGGGAGGCACTCCGGGGATGCATTGTTTCGAGACTTGGTTTGCCTGATTCACGTTCAAGGGTGTGTGAAACTAAATGGCACGACAAAAGGTGTGTTATTCTACTGGTTTTCCTGAAAGCTAACCTGGCAAGAGTAGCCATAGTAGCCGCAAAAAGCCACATACCCGTGTGTGCTGAATAAGGCCCTAGTTTCTGTGAACTTCACTGGCTCGGTCTGCCTCCAAAATCAAGGACCGAACCGGTTCATTCTTGCTGCATGATCCCTTGACAAGCGAACCACAAAGAGAGCCCCGTGTTCTCTGAGAGTGACTTCCCAATCCGCTGGATCGCATGCTGTTCCCATCTGCACGTTCGAAGCCCATCGTCGAAGTTGGGATCCCCTTTGGACGGGTAACTGTTGAAGACCTTACCCCCCGGCAGCCACGCTCTGTTTCCAAGCTCGGTTGGTTGCTATGAATCGCGAAAATCCATCCCCTGGTCTACCAACGGCCTTCCACCATGGGCTTCCAACAGCTGCAAGTGGGCTTGGGCCCATTAAACCTCCCAGGAAACCCTGATTTGTGGGTTCCACTTACAAGGGGTGCCAGGACATGCCAGGATACTTTGCCAAGCCCTTGCAAGTCAATCTACTGGGATGGGTGCACCATGCTCGGTTCTAGTCCAAGGAGCTAGTGACCTCTATGTTTTTCAGCAAGGACAATATCCATCCCTATACTGTGACTATGAGGTAGCGCGATATGAAGCCCGCAACCAAATCTGTGCTAGCTGTGCCAGTTGCTTGGGTATACGTTTGATTGGTGCTCTATAAGGAATTTGTCAAATCACTTTAAGCAATCACAGCTCAGCTAAGCCTGAACCAGCATCTTCGGTTGATTAAAATTCTTTGTGCTCTCTGCAGCCATGCCTCGTGTCAAAGACCCTGACGCAATTTTCTTCCGCGCAAAGGATGATGAAGCCTGGGCCAACATTTTTCACACACAAACCTCTCACGCCTTGGTTGCTCAGGGGGCCCTTCTTTTGTCAACCTCCAGCATGTTTTTTAGACCCAAACACCAAGCAGTACAGGGGGTGTCAAACATCACTCGAGGGGTTGGAAGAACACTGCCCCCAACCAAACTTTGCGGTGGAAAAGGCGGGCTTTCCAAGCCACACAACGAGCCATTTCTAGGCCCAAATGTATGTGCCATGCTATATATCCACCCGCCAACCGGACCGCGGCCATCCCTGTGCCGGCAACGATGCTGCCTCACATGACGCAAATGCAGGAACTCCCCTTGAAGCCCTTGCCCTGAATCACTGAAATGGCGTATCGGTTGGCTGAAAAGCCTCAAAGAAGGGATCCCAAGGGCAGTGGCGCTATCAAAACCGTTCACCTGCACGGCGCATCTTGCCATCAACCTACTAGGATTCACGCGGCGTCCTTCGGCGTGCGGCAGACTGGCTCTGGGCAGGTTGCAGCCAAGCGCCCGTCGCGCCATGAAAATTGACACGGTAACTTGACTAGGTCCTCCAGTCGGGAGGTTAGAAGAAGGGTACATTTTTGTCTGTAGTCTATTTTAGTAGGGGAACCCTCCCCCAAAAAAGGGGTTTAAGGGCACTACTGGGGGACCTAGTTGAGCCAATCTCAGGCCAATGGGTTGGAGAGGGCCGAAGGCTGTGACCTCCAGATGCTTCCCCGACTCCCTGAGATTGCTGGAGGGTGGGGCCTGGAATCAGCTACTCACGCTATGTGAAGCTTAGAACTCAGAATGGCGTTTAGTTGAAGGTCGAAGTGACTGATGTACCGTAAACAAAACAAGTCCCATGAAAGAAACATATTTAAACTTTGGTGCCAAAGCAAAGGGGCTGAACAAATGCTTGCGCAAACAACGATCCGCTTTCGAGTCTGTTTTAGGGAACGGTGAAAAAACCAATGGGGCAAACGTCGGTCTGCATCCTTCCGAGATGCGCTTGTTCGCCGCCACTCCACGCACCAGGCTGTCGTCGACTTCGGCACTAAACTGCGGAGTGATGACGCCATGGCTGGGGCTGGTCGGCGAGTCCATCCGAAGAGACGCTGTTGCAACTTGCAATGGCTTGCGACGTGTGGCTTGAAGTGGGGTACTTGCAATGGCTTGCAATGGCTTGCAAGTGGCTTGCAGTGGCTTGCAATATCCTGAAAAACATTTTTCCAGGATATAGTCTGGTTTGCAGCGGAACTGCAGCCAAACACATCGGTCATTGGCCGATGTTCTGGGCACTGTAGACCATTGAAAGCTGGCCCCACTTGCCTTCTTTGGGAACGCCTGCTGTGATGTGCGAGAAGGCCGGTGAGTTCCATGATTTCAAAGGCCTGCTGCAAAAGGTCGTGTAAGGTTCTAGTCTGGTTGCTTGGCTGCTGCGCAGCTCAAAAACCTGTCTTGGCCTCTTTGGCCATTCTCCCTGGGCCTTTCTGTTCAGTCTCTGAGCCAGTTACAGGCCTGAAGCTGCATGAGGCAAGGGGCTGTGTATAGCTCCTGATTGGCAAGCTCATCCCCTTGAAGGATTCTTCTTGATTGCTATAAGGTGCACATCAACACTCAATGTGTGAGCGGACACCCAACGGTCCAAAGGTCTGAGTACATCCCGAGGTTGGTCTCTCTCCCAAGCAGCCAAGGATCTGAGACACGCTCAAAACAGGGAGACAAATACGGGCATTTAAGAGGCCAATCATGGACATGTGTACCAACCAGCCATATCCATATCCTGCAAGCAACCTGAAAGTTGTTGAACGCAACATCACAGGGCGAAATGGGTTAAATGGGTATGTACCCTCTGTCTTACATTGGGAGTGGCAATTGGTCATAAACCATGATAGTTACAGGAAGAAAAAAACATATATATATATATATTAGTAGTCTACACACATGCAATATGTTTGCACAGTGGTTTCACATGAGTAATCCCCACACACACACACACGGACTTGTGCAATTTGTCATCTCTAGTTCTGCATTCTTGCATTTGCTCAAGGAGCCAACAGCAAAAGAAAGTTTGCGTGTCCATCGAAAGCCCTGGGTTTTGGGAGTTCCAGGCGAGTCTTTGGGTGCACCGATCCCAAGTCCCACGCCACAGCTTCAGGCAGCACCAGCTGAGCGGAGACCTCTGTCCCATTCCGGACAGGCGGACAAGGGTGGCAGTGGTTGCTTGAAAAGCGAAACCTCCGGAAAACCAGGTTTTTTTTTTTTTTCTTGGGGGGGGGGGGTGACTAAAATGGGAAACACAACTTGTTGCTGCTTGGCGGAAGGTTGCTAAGAAAAAGGCACCGAAGGACACCTGCAAATGTGGGGCGGACCCGCAGACACTTCCATGTCTCTTTAATCCATATATGTTTTGCGCATTAGGATTACGCTTACCTTCTGCTGTCTTCTCTTCTTCTTGAAGGTTCACTCCTGGCGACATGCTCCAGTGGATCACGGGGTGCATGTTCTGGTTGCACATATTCAGTGCCAGTTCTGATGAAGCTATAAGTACGATTGTGTTGGGAAGACATATGAAAACAATTTTAAATCTGGATGAATATGGTGGTACCAGAGACTCACTCTAATCTTATTCACCTACACTCTCTTTTCAGCATCGCGTTTGATTGCTATTCTACTCACATTTCACCCATCGAATTGCCTGCAAGGCGCCTGAATCTATTCTGAAACCCGAAGAGCAACACAACAATGCAAATCAACACCAGCACACCTCAGCTTAAGCGAAAAGATTTGGATAACAACACCAACAACAAAAACACAACACACATCCCCGCAGCAACACATATATTATTGGATGGATGCGCCAAGACTTTTCTCTCAGAGCTGCTGTGTAGATGTTGGTTACCAGCGATATTTGCAGGGTGTTGCTTGGATTTTCACGGGCTGTTGAAGAAAACTTCATCTTAGCTCCTGAGGCCTGGCCTGGTAAAAACATAAACTCGAGTGTTCTGATAAGTCGCAAGTATCTTGAAATACTGTTGAATACCAAGCCAACAATTCCTCAAAACGATTTTGGCCATTGCGCACGACCCGAAAGCATCTTAAATACAAGGCGTTGCCAGGTTTGCGGCGAGAGTTCATCCAGCATTGACATCTTTGCAAGCTTCCGGTACACGAAAAGTCTACAGGAAATTTGCAAAATACCCACCAAAAGCAAGGATTTCCAAAAAATAATTTCGTGAAGCTGGTTTCGCGCATCCGAGCTGCGTGCTGCATCCATTTCTGTATATATATATATATACATATACACGGTTTGCCCGTAGGTCAGCACGTTGTGATCTCTGAATAATACACACAGACATATTATATATATATATATATATGTATACTGGCACTGGTACATGATGAATGGTACGCTGTGCGACATATGTATATATATATATATATATGCTCACCCTCCCCGCCCTTGAACTACCTTTCCTGCACTGCAAGCCCTCATCTGAACTCAAATTTCGTCATCCGTGAGACTTCCTCCCAAACCATCATCTGCATACCTTTCCTGCACTGCAAGCCCTCATCTGCACTCAAATCCGTCATCTGTGAGACTTCCTCCAAAACCGTCCAACGTCTGCATCTGCAATCCCAACAAGCAAATCATTTAAACATCTAAGCTAATATCCTCAATGTACATCAAGAAATCATTTGTTCCTCGCTTGGATGGGTGAGCTCCATTCTATGTATTTAGTGAGCTTAGGTGATTTGCTAATCCGCTTACAAGTTGTGTAACTTGAGTTAATATGTCTGCTAATTCAGACTTGGCAGACTTACTAACTCAGGTTAGGCGACTTGCGAGCAGCTTGGCAAGTCGCCTAAGTTCACTAATTACATAGCGTGTAGGCTGCATATCCAAGCACCATATCTTCGTCGAAGATCACCTCTTCGGCAAGAGGTCACCTCCTCGTCAGGAGGAGGAGGTGACCTCCTCGTCAGGGGTCACCTCCTCGTCTGGAGGTCACCTCCTCCGAGACATCTTCTCTTCAGATCAGCTTTGGATGTTTCTGTTACTCTCTACACGAGGTTCTGTCTCATTTGCTTTATGTCATCTCCTCGTTATGTCCTCGTCACATGGAACAAATATGCCTTATTTTATACGTATATAGTAGTCACCTTATAAAGCAATATTTTGGGTTAACAACCAAAAAAAACAATTCCGAGGACAAGTTTTGGTTTTACCAAAAGTTTTGTTTTGGCTTTCTCGAGGATTTCTTTGTTTTTTTTGGATTTCCTCGAGTTTTTTTGGATTTTCTGGGTAGAAACCTAAAAAAACTCGATGTTTTTTTGGTTTCTAGTCTTATTTGATAGAAAATTATTAAAACAAATTCGAGAAAACCAAAGAACCAAAAAACCAAAACTCTGAGCACAAGTTTTGGTTTTACCAAAAGTTCTGTTTTTTTGGTGTGCTCGAGTTGTTTTTCCCTCGAGTGTTTTGGTTTTCTGAGTAGAAAGTTAAACAACTCGATTGTTTTTGTTGGTTCTTTGTTGTTTTTTTAATGGTTTTTCGAATACATTAAGTAAACCAATGCAAAAACTGGGAGTTTATGCTAACTTTTTATAATTATCGGAATGTAATCGCGTAACCTTTGGTTGGTTGGCATTGGCAAACTAAGGACGAAATCAGAAATCAACAATAACACATCACATGTATGGTTCGGTTGCTCTCTCATGACCTGCTAAACGCAACTAACTTTTAGTGGGTTAAATTCGGAAACTACCACTAAAGCAACTAAAAGAACTAAAAAACGGTTGAACCGGATGGCTTGCCACCAAGCTTCGTGGTACTGTCCCAACGACAAAACAAAATCCCAAGGGCGCAAGCACGCCGAGGCGCTGCCGCAGCCGCTCGCCGCAACGCGCAGCGAATCTCGCGCAGCTCACCTGGAGCAGCTTTCAGGAGAACAAAAACCTCAAACGGAGAACTGGGGGTTGGGGGTGGGTGGGTGGGGTTGGGGCGGCGGCGGGGTTAAAAGGGGTTCTTGGTATGGGGAAAAATGAACCCACCACATGGACCGCGGGTTTTGGTCCAGGTTGCCATTTGCCAGGGCAAGCCAATTTGGGGTTACCCTATCCTTGACCCACAGCCACCTGGCAATGAATTTTACCAGAGAACCCGTTGGTGGATTATTACGATTGTTGTTCCTGATGCTGCCTTGGTGGGCGTTTTTTGATAGTCTGTGGCGGCTGGCTGGTTGGCTGGTTGGCTGGTTGCTTGCGTGCTTGCGTGCTTGCTTGCTGCTTATGCTGTGCGTTTGTGTCTTCGTTTGTTTAAAAGTTTGATTGTCGAATTCCTTACCCACGAGCTTGCTTTTCCTTCTTTCCTTCTTTCCTTCTTTGCTTGCTTGCTTGCTTGCTTGACTGACTGACTTTGACTGACTGACTGACTGACTGACTGACTGACTGACTGACTGACTGACTGACTGACTGACTGACTGACTGACTGACTGACTGACTGACTGACTGACTGACTGACTGACTGACTGACTGACTGACTGACTGACTGACTGACTGACTGACTGACTGACTGACTGACTGACTGACTGACTGACTGACTGACTGACTGACTGACTGACTGACTGACTGTTTGTGTGTTGGTTTGTTGGTTGGTTGGTTTGTTTGTTTGTTGGTTGGTTGGTTGGGTTGATGCTTTGCTGGCTTGATTGGTTGTTTGTTGGTTTGATTGTTTGTTTGTTTGTTTGTTTGTTTGCTTGTTTTTTTTTTTTGTTTGTGTGTTTTGTTTTGTTTGTTTGCTTGATTGATCTATTGATGGATTGATGGATTGATTGATTGATTCATTGATTGCTTGCTTGCTTGGTTGTCTGATGTGTTTGCTTCAATTGTTTGATTGACTGGTTTTGTGTTACTTGACCTGATTTGCTTTGATTGATGAATTGATTGATTGACTGCCTCACTGACTGACTGATTGGTTGAGTGAACGATTTATTGATTGATTCGTTGATTGACTGATTGATTGATTGCTTGCTTGCTTGACAGACTGACTGATTGATTGATTGATTGGTTGGTTGATTGATTGCTTGCTTGCTTGCTTGATTGAGATTGATTGATTGATTGGTTGGTTGATTGATTGATTGATTGATTGATTGATTGATTGATTGATTGATTGATTGATTGATTCATTCATTCATTCATTCATTCATTGATTGAGATAGACTGATTGAGATAGATTGATTGAGATAGATAGATAGATAGATAGATAGATAGACAAATTGCTTGCTTGATTGATTGATTGATAGATTGATTGATTGCTTGACTGATTGATTGCTTGATTGCTTGATTGATTGATTGCTTGATTGATTGATTGTTTGATTGCTTGCTTGATTGAGATAAATAGACAGATAGCTAGATAGATAGATAGATAGATAGACTGATTGATTGATTGATTGATTGATTGATTGATTGATTGATTGATTGATTGATTGATTGATTGATTGATTGATTGAAACGCTCGCTCGCTCGCCGCTTGCTTGTTTGCACGCTCGATTGATTGCTTGCTTGCTCGCGCTCTTCTTTTCTGCGCCTGCCTGCTTGATGTCTGGTTTAACTTATTGCATGCTTGCTAGTGTTCTTCCCTGGGTTGCCCGCATGCTCTTCTGTCTGCTTGCAAATCTGCTTTCTTGATGGGTTGCCTGCTTATTTTCTGGCTTGCTTGCATTGCCTTGTTGCTTACTGGCTTGCATGGTTTCGTGCTTACTTGCCTGCTTGCCTTCTTCCTTCCGTTGCTTCCTTCCTTGCTTGATTGTGTGCGTTTTTCTGGTTTGTGCGCTGCATTTCCTGGCTTGGTGAGCTCCTTGTTCACCTTACACGACAAGTTGCAACACCGAGAAATCTCATTAACCGTTGAGCTGGTTATAATTTGTGTTTCGTTATTCTTTGGTGGGTTGATGAAGTTGCTGTTGTTGTAACATTTAGCCATTTGTCGTGTCAAGCTGGCGGATCCATAAGGCGGTTTCCTCCCAAAAAATAAATACCCCACCTCCCAAAATGGCACGGCACTCAAAACAAGCAAGGTTAAACAACCAAGGGCTTAATGTTGACCCCGTATTTGTCAACCCAAAACTAATACGCGGGTGTTCCCCTGCGAACATGATGATTCCCCACTAAACCCAGTTGATTAATATTGGATCAGCATTCATCTGGGTGCCCAATGGCTCGTGAGCCAACACCTAGTTGCTCGATGTCTGTCCGACATGGTAATGCAGAAAATGAGCTGGGCTTCTTGGCTTCTTGGCCAGTTGAAGGCACAGCAGTTCTTGCCTTATACCCCATGCCAGCAAATGACCTGGCTTCTTGGCTTGCGTTTTTCCAAACAGCCCAAAAGCAGCCTGCGCTGGCCGTCCCCTTCGTGGCTTGCGCTGCTTGAGAAAGCGCCCGCGCCGCTTCCGCGACCGGGCCTTCGGAGGCGAGGCTCGCGCTCGCGCTCCGCGCGCGGAGCTCTGCGAAGATCTCTTGGCCTCGGACTCTTGCGCGAAAACTCGGCTTTTCGTGGAAAAGACATGCTTGGCCTCTGCCCAGACAGCGCTGGCTCCCCGAAAGTTGGAGAGTTGAAGTTGTGGCCTTGGGCTCGAAGGATGAACCCCTGCGGGTTCGAAGGAGAAGCTGATCCCCGAAACTTCTTGGAAAGAAGCTTGAGACCAGGATAAGCACTCTGAGATCCATAGCTGCCATGTGATTATTGTGCCACCTAAATGTGCAACAAATGTATGTCTATATATATATATATATGTATGCATGTATCTATATTGAAATAATACAACCATTTACCTTGTCACACCAACAACGAAAAGTCGCCAACACACTTTAAGCACGTGGAAACTGTGTTGGGCTATAAAAAAAAATAACTTCTACAAACAATGAG